GTGCTGCTGCTGTCAGCAGCTCTATCGTCAGAGCTGGGCTCCCAGCCAGCAACTGCCACTCTCCAGCTGCCCAGCTCTGAAGGCAGTGCTGCCACCAGCAGCCACGCAGAAGTAAGGGTAACAGTACCCCCCCCCACACACACAATAACCTTGCAAACTCCCCCCCCCCCCAAACTCCTTTTTGGGTCAGGACCCCTACGATTACAATACTGTGAAATTTCTGATTTAAATAGCTGAAATCATGAAATCTACAATTTTTAAAATCCTATGATAATGAAATTGACCAAAATGGACCATGAATTTGGTAGGGCCCTATATATTTGTACTGCTGGCAGACCTTTAAAGTATACCAGAAACATCCTTGACAACTGTTTCCAACCTATTTGTTGCCAGTAGAGTTATGTCACTTTTTCCCTGTCTGTTATAGTTAAGTTGTTTCTTTTTAACAACCATGCTAGGTAGACTGTAGTTTCTTAAAATAGTTGCAACAGTTTGTAATAATGATAAATGTGGGCACTAGCCATATCGTTAGAATTGTATTAGTTTATACTAGTGTGTAAAAATGGTTTCAAACACAAGCACAGTGTGGTCAGGGTCTCTCTCTAATAACATGTCTTCCAGCTGCTTGATTCAGAGTTCTGTCATGGATGTGGACTTCAACATACACTGTTGCTTGGTGTTAACTGATTGTGTGCCACTTAAGTCTATGTGACCTTTGCCATTCACTTTAAGTGTCCAGTTGCCTCAGATGTTGGAGATGGTAATAAAACTGTGAAGGGTGAGGTAGGTATTTGCCTTAGGACTTGTGATTAGTAAAGTGTAGTGAGTGTGCCACATAATAGTTTTCTCCTTCTGTGTTATCAGAAAGTCCTCAACAACCTTTATCCTGCTTGTCAGACAAAATCTACTCCATAAGGAATGGCACATCAAACTGGGGAAGGGCAGGTTGAAGAAAAGAGTAAATAAAATAGAAGGTAGAGTGCTGTTAATTAAAAAGAGGAAGGAGGATATAAACTGCCCCACCCAGTCTTTTTAATTTTAACTTTCTAAGCTTCGCTCTCTTTAAATTTAGATTGCATCTTGAGTTCTGTTGCAACTAATATTTTTTACTTAGTTGTGAACAGTTTTGGGAGATAAGCATGTTTTGTGTGTTTATCCTCAATGGCTTAATATTAACTGCAAAAGTAACACAAGTTGCATTGTACTGTATTTTAATGTTTCTCAGAATGAAACTAGACAGCCTAATTTAACCATTTTAAAAGGGCTTTATGTATCATCTGTCTGATTCTTCTCTCTGCCTGACAACAGGATATTTATTTATTTCTCCATTAGTTAACTATACAATTTGTGGTTCTTTATTTTTAGGTTCAGATGGGTTTTCGTGCTTCAGAAGTCTTCTTTTTTTTTGTAACTATTTTTCATTTTGTTGAGCAGACACAAGTGAAAACATCTAGACTTTTTCAACTGAAATTTTGTGTTTTCATTCTGTTACTGTTAGAAGCTAGGAATGGGCGACAGGGGATGGATCACTTGATGATGGGGTACCTGGCATTGGCCACTGTCGGAAGACAGGATTTTGGGTTAGATGGACCTTTGGTCTGACCCAGTAAGGCTGTTCTTATGTTCTAGCATCCAAGATATTTCAGCCATGGTTTTGCAATCACTTTTGTCTGATATACAACAAAAAGCAAAGGCTCAGGAATGTATAGGGCCAGTTGTGCAAATTCTTCTTAATGGTGCCATGCTTTGTTGTCTACTTTGAGTTTGGTTATTTAATATCAATATTTTAATTTCACTCAAAGGCCCGGATCAGGGCCCCATTGTGCTTCATGCTGTGCTATTTTTTATTGATGACTTTAGTTTGAGAGACAATATAAATCTAGTTCCTTGAGAATTTTTCAGTTTCACACCATCAGAATAGATTCAATTTATCCTGCAAAGAGCTAATCATGTACATCTTATTCTGGCAAAATCTTCATTGAAGTCAAAGCGCTAAAGCTTTTCTACAAGAAATTAGATTATAGTCTTGATTCTGCAACACTTATTTATCTTCAATAGCATTTACTTACATTAGTATTCCATGAACTTCAAAGGGTCTGATTGCATAAATTAATAATATTGATTATAAGGGTATGTCCTAAATGCAGAGTTAACTTCAGTTATCTACATTCAAGTTACTCTTCTCAAGTTAGCTAGCTGGAGTGAGAGCAGCCATGCTGAGAAATAACATTCAAGCTACTTTGTCCATACCGGCACTGCAGTTATTCATATGTGGCACTAAGATTTCTGGGGGCACATCCCATGGTTCTTTGCACTGCAGTATGTGAGCTATTCTATGAATTCTTTCCCAGTGAATTGTGAGATAACTTGTCTGTCCTTTGGGCACATGCAGGGAACTATAGGAAGACACTGGAGGTTTAGCAGCACTCAAATGGAGCTAGCCTGAGTCCACACTACAGAGTGGTCATGTTACCCACAGATCAATTGTGTTAACTTAAGCTTTAACCTATACCTCCTTATGGGCTAGCCAACTTGAATTAAAAGTGCCACTACACTTGAGTGTAGCACCTAACACGAGTCCCATCCACACACAAAAACCCTTAACTCAAGTTATGACTTCAGTTAACTTTGAAGTGAAGACAGGCCCTAAGAGTTGCAGAATCAGACCCCATATTAATAAAAGGTTTTGTTCAGTCTAAGCTACAGTGGTTGTGATGGATACAAAGTTTGGCATTAAAAATGGTAAAGACAGATGATGGTTCTGCTGTATAACCTGGTATTCAGTATATCCTTTCTCAAGTTTTCAGTTTATTAAGGAGTAATTCTTATGTTCCAGTTTGCTCTTTACATTCTATTGCGATTGTATGTAAGTTGCATTTGCTATAACTTGATTTCTGTCTATTGCACCTTGACTTGAAGAATAGAATTTCCCCCACTATCTTCCTCCACCCCCAAGCTTCAGAAGCAGTTGTGTTCAAATGCAGCCTCCCATGAAGGGATCATACACACTGTATTCTCTCTCTATTGGAGACCTTGGTCAAGATTTAAAAAACTGGAGCCCCGGTTCAGCAAAGTGCTGACACATGTTAGTTTATATTTCTGGAAATGTCACTCTGACAATATCCTGTAGTCTCGGTGATAAAATAAAGTGTCTGAATAAAAAGTTATATTATTCAGTATTCTAACTAGGTGATCATAGTAGTGGTCCCCTATGGCCTTAAAATCTATGAAACCAGGTGGCAGACATTTTGCACAGACAGATTTAGCTGAACCACATACACACAAGATAAACAAGGAACTTTTATTTTTCTCATTGTAAACCTGTGATAAGGTCTTTTTCTCTCCCAAACAGGTACTACTGGTGCCATTGACTATACCAAGATTTTGGAGGCTATATATAGTCTGCTGCTGTTGTAATTATGATCTGTGACTGCTCCTACCTCAGCTCTCAAACTCTTTGTACAGGTTAGTTGTGAGATTGCCAGTACCTGTTTTATTTTCTTCATTATAGTGCAAGCTGACAAGAACAAAGCTGAAGAGGAAGATTGAAGAGTTTGGATTAAGTGTGTTTTGGTACAGTAGATGGGGCATATTGGAAGTGTTTTGGAGGGGGTTAAATCACAGCTCTCATGAGGATGAACTGATTATCCACTATGACCCCCAAGTCTTTTTCAGAATCAATGCCTCCCAGGATAGAGTCCCCCATCTGGTAAGAATGGCCTGAATTCTTTGTTCCTATATGTGTATGTGCACATTTAGCCATATTAAAACTCATATTGTTTGCTTGCCCCAAGATTCCCAAGCAATCCAGATCATTCTGTATCAGTGACCTGTCCTCTTCATTATTTGCCACTCCCTATAATCTTTGTGTCATCCGCAAACTGTATCTGTTATGATTTGATGGTCTCTTCCCAGTCACTGATAAAAATGTTAAATATTGTTGGGCCAAGAACTAATCTCTGTGGAACTCCACTAGAAATACACCCACTCTGTGATGATCTTCCTCCCCCATAAAATTACATCAGTCAGCCAGTTTTTAATCCATTTAATGTGTGCCATGTTGATTTTTATATTGTTCTAGTTTCTGAAATCAAACTGTTGTGTAGCACCAGGTCAAACTGAACTTTAATTTGCCATACAAATCCATTAATTGGATACATAACAATTGGTGGTGGTTTTGGGAAGTGGGTCACTAGCTGAATATTTGTCTAAAATGGTTTAAAATAGATAACTGGAATTCTAGTGAGAGGCTATAGTGCAGGGGTCAGCAACCTTTCAGAAGTGGTGTGCCGAGTCTTCATTTATTCACTCTAATTTAAGGTTTCGCGTGCCAGTAATACATTTTAACGTTTTTAGAAGGTCTCTTTCTATAAGTCTATAATAAACTATTGTTGCATGTAAAGTAAATAAGGTTTTTAAAATGTTTAAGAAGCTTCATTTAAAATTAAATTAAAATGCAGAGCCCCCCAGACCGGTGGCCAGGGCCCGGGCAGTGTGAGTGCCACTGAAAATCAGCTTGCGTGCCGCCTTCGGCACGCGTGCCATAGGTTGCCTACCCCTGCTATAGTGTGTGTATATATAAGGAGGATTGGGAATGGGAAAAAGAAGGGAAATTGCACTGTATATCAGAAATATATTCATAAATAATGAACTAAGGACAATTATAAGGATCAGAAATAGCAAATGTGCATGTGTTAGTTAGAGATGAGTAACTGATTTGGGGCTACAATGGGGCAAAAGGGCCAAGCAGACAGAGGAAGAGATAACAAGTGGAAATGTTCTGCTACCCATACAGGTTTAGGGATGTAGAAAACAATGAGCTGGGAAGGGGGTGAAGAATGAGAATGCAAGGGGGGTGGGGGGAGAATAGCTAAATGTCATCAAGGAAATAATATAATTGAAGAAAGAGGACAATGATATAAGAAGTTATGACAAGAAAGAATTGCTGAAAACTAAAAAGTTTAGATTGGACAAAAATAAAAGCATTCTTCGAGTAATTAGTCATTAGAATAGACTGCAAGTACTCGAAGCCCTTTCCCTGGAGCTATGTAAAGCAGATAAGACAAGACATTATTGAAAATGTAGGGAATTGTCCTGCAAAATTCAATTTGTCAGACCAAATGAGCTAAGGCTTTTCAGGCCTTAGACGGTATTATCTGTAAATCTAACAGCAGAATACCTGCCCTAACAAATGGTCCTCCCTGCATTTGGAAAAATTGGGTGTGTAATTCATTTCCAGTGGAGGCTGTGGTTTAGACAGGACTCAGGATTGTTTAACACGATGTCATCTAACCCTGTGCTGAGAATAGCCTCCGTTGTTTCTACCACCAGTGGAGAGATGTACCAGTTGGTCTCAATTTTAGCAATGTGGATACAGCTATAGAATCTCAGAGCAATTGGGAAATGTAGGCTCATCTCTTATATAGGGTGAAATCCTGGCTTTAACAATTGTGGCTGTGCTGGGGGAGGGGAGTGGTGCCAGCTGCATATCTGGCCTGAAATTGGTTAGCACAAGATAAAATGGGTTGGGGGTGAAGCATTTCCAGGTATAACTAGGAGAAGGAGCATTGTCATACTGCTAGCAGCCACTGATGTCCTCAGCATCGGCAGCACATATACTAACATTGGAACGATACAGAGAAGATTAGCATGGCCTCGGCGCAAGGATGACACAGAGAAAAAAAGCAGCACATTAGCTAGTCGTAGGCCTGGCCATGCCTCTGAACAATGATACATTATGTAAATAGGAACAGACTTATGCCATGCTGCTTTCTTCCATACCTAGCACATCTGTGCAGCACGGAGCAGGATATGACCCACCCAAAATTATTATGGTCATCTCTAGTAATTATTATATAACTATAAATTAAATACTGTTATTAATTTGCACTTCTATATCTCCTTTCATTGGAAAATGCCAAAGCCCTATGCAAACATTAACAAATAACACCTCGCAAGATCTGTCTATGGTAGGTCAGCATTAGCATGGCTGGTTATTTGGAAACAACGGAGGCTATTCTCAGCAGAGGGTTAGATGACATGGTGTTAAACAACCCTGAGTCCTGAGGAAGTCATAGGTTAGAGGCTTAAACAGGATCCTCAAAATATTTTAATTAATTTTAAATTACTTTTGTAACTGAAAGCCCCTCCTTCATTCCTCAAGTTGCACAGTTTCCTTTTAATTTTGCTTTTCATTTTTCACTGTTGTGTAAAGTGCACAAATCTACATAACCAATAATAAACAACTGGCTCAATTGTTAGTTAACAGATTTATATAAGCATTGTAAATCCATTAACGATCTGGTCACTAAATGAAGCACTGACCTATTTCTCAGACTTAATAGGTGATAAACCATGACTGGTGATCTATAAAAGCAGGAATGTGTAGAAAAATTAATAGCTGCAACAGCAGAGCAAAATATTAGTCTCCTTCCAGGCTTCCCCCAATCAGAATGCATGGCTCACTGTTATGTGCTTACTAATTATTTGTCAGCCACCAAACTTTGACTCAGATTAACTTTGCAGTACAGTGAAGTTGCTATGCTGACGGCTGGGTGCGCACCTCTCTCCCTCCCGCTCACCTGGTTTACTGCTGAAGAATGCTATGCAAGTAATTTAATATGATTTACATTCAAGTTGGTCCAGAATACAAATCCTGGATCCAGACACTCCTAGACTCAGGGAAGGATGGTTTTTAAATCTAGGACTATCTCTTATCCCTACAATAAGGAAAAACAAAATTGTGGATCCAAACACTATCTAATCTGGGGAGATTTGTGATCAAAGAAGTTGAGAACCACTGTTATAAAGCAAAACCTACATTATTGCTATGATAGGGACTCTAATGTGGTGTTCAAAAATCTCACTCCTAAACATGGTACAATGACATACTAACAATTCATTTCCCATCTTAAACTTTGTGCATAAGCATTATTAGATCAATAGGTTTTGATGTAATTGTATAATGTATAAAAAAAGCTACTTTTTTGCAGACCTAGTTATAAGAATTGAATCTAGTAACAAAAAAGAAGCAAGCTTAAGGCTGACCTATAAGGGTAGTGGAAGAGCACTGTTAATGTTTTAACTCTATTCATACTGTTTCCACCACTTAGGTCTTTTATACTCCCAGGCCAGTCATTCTCTAAAACAGGAGCACTTTATTAAATTTGTCGTAATCCAAAAAAAGCTTGCACATGCCCACTGCTGAAGTCTTACAGTAGCATGCCATTCTGCTGTGATCATATCTGCTCACCAGAGCTATCTTCAGCAGAACACCAATCCTTAAGGGATAGGGTACAAGAAAATATAGCTCAGGCATTCCACCCTAGTAAACAAGATTCACACTACAATACTCATCTTAACTCAGTGCCACTTCTACAGTAAGAAAGCAATTCTTGGGGGGAGGGATAGCTCAGTGGTTTGAGCATTGGCCTGCTAAACCCAGGGTTGTGAGTTCAATTCTTCAGGGGGGCATTTAGGGATCTGGGGCAAAAAAATTGGATGATTTAGTTTGGGATTGGTCCTGCTTTGAGCAGGGGGTTGGACTAGATGACCTCTTGAGGTCCCTTCCAACCCTGATATTCTATGATTCTATGAAAATACAAACTTTGTGGCTTGAGCCCAGATTAGGCCCATCACTGGAATTATAAAAGAGAGGATGCATCTTTTTCCCAAATAAACATATCCCTCCACCCATTATAACCAGTTTTAGAGACATGCAATAAGTGAAATAGTGTTGTCACCCTTTGTGTATTGTCTATAGTGAGGCAAGTGACAAAAAAACACAAAGGAACTGTAACTAGCAGAAATGATGTGGTGCACACATCATTCTAAAGGGGCAGATGGTGTGAGCTCTAGCAGCCAAAGTTACATTTGCTTGGGGAATAGAGAAGGGACAGTGGAGCCTCACATAGGAAGGGGAGGTGGATAGCAGATCCCTCATGATTGTGAGAGGAAGGTAGTGAGAGCCTCCTATTGTTGGGGAAGTAGAGGGAGCTGAAGAAACTGCTACTCAGTTACTACCTTCCTTGCTTCAGAAGCGTCCTGTAAAATGTGTGTCCTATTCGGTTTCTGCTTCCAAATATATTTCTTGTATGGCTGTTCTGGTAGGGAAATAGTGGCACTGTTGCTCAGGAATCACTTGCACCTCCACCTTCACCATATTTAGTTATAGGCATTCTCACAATTAGCCATCTTTGCTGATGTTCAAACCAAATCCAGGCAGGAGAAATTACCTTACATTTTGAAGCATTGTTCTCCAACATTCTTGACCTGGACTGCCTTCAGGGGTTTTGCTGTCCAAGGTAAACTGTCAAATGTCTGCCTGTCTTTCTTAAGGTTGTCTTGAGCCATCACTGCCATAGTATTCAAGCACTTTCCAGGTAAGCTGAATCTGCATGGTGAGTTTAGTCTTCCCCCTTTCCTGGTTAAAAATGGACTAAAATGCTTAGCTAACTGCTGCCATG